AATTTGGGGGGGGGGGGGGGATGGTTGAATGCCACCACTAGCTTCTAATTGGTTGCGGCATTGCTAGAACCACAACTTAATGGTTGTGAAAAATGGGTTAGAGTTGATTAGGTATAAAATGAAGGTTAGATATATGTATTTTGGGTACTTTTAAAATGAAAACTGCAGAAGTTATTCACATAAGAAGAATCAATAGGAAATAAAATGGCATTGGGAGAAATTTAGGCGCATAAGGCAAGGTAGTATGCCATTATTGTTTGGAGGGTAAATAATTGGAATGACGCATTAGAGTAGTGAATAGAGAATTGAAAGATTAAATTGTTGAGATAATTATACTTATTGATAAAGTGATTTCTAATTTGTTGCGGCATTGCTAGAACCACAACTTAATGGTTGTGAAAAATGGGTTAGAGTTGATTAGGTATAAAATGAAGGTTAGATATATGTATTTTGGGTACTTTTAAAATGAAAACTGCAGAAGTTATTCACATAATGATTAGAAGAAGAATCAATAGGAAATAAAATGGCATTGGGAGAAATTTAGGCGCAGAAGGCAAGGTAGTATGCCATTATTGTTTGGAGGGTAAATAATTGGAATGATGCATTAGAGTAGTGAATAGAGAATTGAAAGATTAAATTGTTGAGATAATATACTTATTGATAAAGTGATTTCTATTAAGTTAATTTTCAATGAGAATATAATGATGCAGCTATTGCTTATACTCTAATTATTTTGAAAAATTAAATTAGATTGGATGATAAATTATTAAAAATGTATGCTTATGAAAAATAATAATCATTATGGGTGATATAATTAGGAGAACGCCCAAGCACTAGCAACTAATTGTGCTAAGCTAATTATTGCAACTGGCAGTTTGGTGGCTGTTGGGCAGCTCACGAAGCTGTGGCGTATTTTGGCACTGAAGAAAGTACATTTCCTAGTTTGTTTTTGGTTCAACATGCCTGTAGTAAGAAAAAGCCTTGAACTTTAAGCCAATATCTTCATGATGTTCAACTGAGGATTTAGTGATTGCAGGTGGGTTCAACACCTGATTTGATGGTTGCATATATTGACTTTTTCCTGGGTGGTGATGAAAAACGCCTAGATGTAGCATCGACTATGATGCAGAGATTCCCAATGTGTATTATTTTTGGTGGCGATGGAAGTTACATGTCACCATATCATCTCCATAGTGACATGTTATTGACAAATCTTCTTGGCCAGGTATTCTTTTGGGATTGATTTTATACTGCATTCTGACTCTGACGTTTCAACTCTATTAATTGAAAAATTGTTTTGACTGCAGTATTTATCTACAGCTATCTGGACTAGATTTGTTGCTGGATTAAATGCTCATTTGCGAACTGTAAGACAAGGAAACATTCGTTCTGCTTTAGTCCATGTTATATTATGGATCAACAGTCACGGAAATCCACAGCTTGAGCCCCATGGTGTTAGGATTGAACTTGGTTGGTTCCAGCCAACGGCTTCTGGCTATTACCAAATAGGAATCGTAGTTACCGTTAATGAACAATTTTTCAAAAATGTGCATCATGCAGATATCTTGGATACAAGGTAGTACTTGTTCCTGTTATAATTAACTTTCGAGTTGTGAGGTTTGAGACTGCTTGTTGCTGATTTATAAATCATTTATTCTTCATAAAAATGTGCATTTATTCCGCTTTAGAATCATTGGCAGTCCTTTCACTTGACGTTTCTATGCTAGGAAAAATCTCCCAGTTTCTCGTAAGAGCACTAAACAGATTCAGCAGACCCAAACTTCAGTTAACCCAACAATTTCACGCAAGAGATTGACTGGAGGAGTGAATGGAGGTGTAGTAAATGAAGCAACATTGAAGTCCTTGGATTATAGAAGGGATTACCTGTTCCCATTTTCTCTTCTATTGCAAAACACAAGACCCATCGGTCTCCAGGTAATTCTATGGTAAAGTTATCTTGTTCCTCTCTGGAACCAGTCTGACTAGTGAATGCTTTTTCAACTTAACATCTTTGTATATGGAAATGATTATGATTTCAGGAGACCATGCAGCTGCTCATCTGTATGATGATCTTGGCTGATTTCACCATCACCCTTCTAACGTTGGTCCAATATTACTGGATTTCCTTGGGGGCTTTCCTTGCTGTCTTGCTGATTCTCCCATTATCTTTGCTATCACCCTTTCCTGCTGGGCTAAACGCTCTCTTCAGTAGAGGGCTTCGACGGTCTTCACTGGCCCGAATTTATGCATTGTGGAATGCTACATCAATGTCAAACTTGGTAAGCTTTTGACCTGACGTGCTTTTTATCTTGACAATGATAGTAAAAACAGTATAAACATTTATTATTGTTTTTAAAACTTTGATTCTCTTTAAAGCCAATGTTCATTTTTTAGTAAAATCTTGTTTTCCAGAAGTTCTTTGCCATTGATGTTCCCATGTAACCGATTTCTAGTCATTTAGTGCTCTTGGATGGAGAAATCAGTTCTTTTTATATCTAGTGAACTAAATACTGGGTAAATGCTATTGAAAAAATGTTGAGACTTTAGATTAAGATTTTGTTTGAAACAGCTTTCTTATTGCTTTCTAAAATAATTTTTAGTAAAAAAATTTGTTAAAATAAAAAAAATTATTAAAAAGCTGCTTTAGAAAATAATAAGAAAACTGTCCCAAACAAAACTAAAGTTATTGTTTTTGAGTAAATGTGCTAATATTTACCACTGTTGATATATATCATCAATAAATTATTAGTATGCTTGAGAAGGTGTATAAATAGCTTCAAGGAGTTTGTTACATTGACAACAAGCTTGATGCATTCTAATAATGGTTTTCCTATTTTTTGTAAATAAAACCATGAGGCTATCTTATTTATAAAAAATGACATTTTGTTAGATTTCACTATGAATTAGGTGTTTAGGTTCTTACATCCTATAATGGTATTTTCAGAAATGGACCTTGCCCTCTGTATAGGTTCTTACATCCTACCATCACTTTCTGCAACTGTTTGTGGTGATTGTTTCTGTGATGCCTTGTAATTGTGTCATATCCATTGGCTTCCGTGAAATGTTATATAATGCCACTAATAATTTATTGAGATATGATGGTATGGAAAAACTTTTAAGAGTTCAACTAAAGAAAATCTATTCTTTTGTGAATTGACCTATTAGAATGCTTTTAGATGTTCAAAGTAGTTGCATTAAGGGCTCATTTGGTTGCTTGTAGATGGAAAATATATTTTAGAATGTGAGGATTTTATTTTCACTCATTTTGTGTATGAAATTTAAATCCTTCGGATATAGTTTTGCGGAGGTTTGTGGAGTTTGAATCAAAATTCGTGTTTAATCACATCCAATAAATGATGTGTTTAAGATTTTTTTTCTTTTCAAACCGTGATTTCAAATTTCATGCAATTAAATGAGCCCTAAAAAGATTTAATATTATGTACTTTCCAGCCGTGCTTTAATGTTATTTATTTATTTATGTATTTTCCTTTTTAAGACTTGTAGTGGTTTCTGTAAATAAGATGGTATGGTAAAACTTAAAAACTTAATATCATAATTTATGGCCTAGAAGAAACTGTTTATTTTAATGTGTTTCCAGACTAGACATGCATAAAATAGTTAAAATATTAGCACTATTGAGACTTGAACTCATCAATGTTTAAAAGAATTGGTAACCGACCAAACCAAAATCTTGTGCTCTTAAGGTGTTGTTCAGATTCAGCTTTTATGCTCTAATAACAGATAAAAGCTAATGGTGAGAAACTTGTGAGTATTTTGTACATGCATTTGAATGGAGACAAAAAAGGGAACATGTCTTGAATGTTTGCTAATCTTTGAGAAGATAATTAGAAATTTGTATCGTTGATGATATCCCCGTTATTGTTCTGCTAGTAACCTCATACTTTATGTGATTATTAAGAGTCAATTCTTGCAGATTGTGGCCTTTGTTTGTGGGATTGTATATTGTGGATTTTCTTCATCTGAGACGGCTGCCGGGCAACATACATCAACCATAAGACGGTGCGTTACTCTTCTATAATCCTATAATCGCCCTTCTCTATGCTCTCAATGCAAATTGTATTCAAGTGCTCGAATTCCCCTCTTCTTATTATGGTTTTGTTAAGGATTAATCAAAACGTTAGGTAGTACAAGGAAGGGTAGTGCAAGGAAGCTAACAAGTATACGTTTAAAACTCTAAAATAGCCACAAGATTCTTCTGAAACTATTTGACATTGCAAGTTAGCGGAGAAAAAAAAAAAGAGTACAACTGAGCTTGACAGTGATAATCAACTTAAAAAACCTTACTTTTCCTAGGAATTTCCCTGTGTTGGCAACGGGTCAGTGTTGAAAACTTTTGCCCCGATCATCCTTCCTTGCAAAAAACTGCTGGAATGGAGATTCCCCGGTGTCATACTGCTGCTATCCGCCTCAGGTGCAGCCTCCAGAGTCAGTCCTGCTGGAATTTTCAGTAGTTGCCGACTTGCTGCCAACCCAGATCCCGCGAAGTCAATTGATCGCTGGTTCCCAGCCTCTACAACTTCGAACAACTCTCGTAGTCTTTCTGCTCTCTCTCAGAACATGTAGGAAAACCAAAGTAAAAAAACCTGCAGTTCACCTTCAAGAGACGACCAAGATAACTAATGAAGCAAGAAAAATAGAGAGCCTAATGATCACTTCTTGCATTCCATGACTCAAGCCATGATTCTTCTTCATTGCTTAAGCTTGAATCTCCACTACTGCTGGAAAACTGTTGCAGCCTTTGTCCTGCAGCCAATGCCCCTTAGAGCAGGATCAATGCTTGTTTGCTTGCTACAGCAGCCTGAGCTCCCCTTCATACCTCCAATGCCACAGGAACTCTAGGAATCTTCAAGAAATTTGAAAAGTGAAGCATGAGAACACAAAACTATTGTTGTGAATGACCTCTAATTCTTGCAAGAACCTATAGACATGGCCGTCTCTTCTCTAGACCTCAAGAACTGCTGCCAGTACCCACATCCATTCCAAAATCTGCTGCATAAAGAATTTATTTTCACTGACAACTTTGCTACTAATTGCATCTCCTTGTACCACCCATTGTTTTCAAGAACCACTTCTTGTTTTTTTTTTCCCACACCATAACCCATCATGAAAAACATTGATGTAGTCGAAACTATCTGAATTTTACAAATCAATCAAGAATTACATTTCTCTGAAATACAAAAATCTCTACAACAAGTGAATGTTCAAATTGCCTCCATTGGCTCATCACTTCAGCATGTCCATGCTTTCATTAATTAGTATGACATAAGAATGTTAGAATTATATAATTGGAATAACAAAAAAGTAAGCAAAATTAAACATTAATTACTACGAACTAAAGCTTCGAAACCCAAGCAACGAAACCCTTCTTCGAACCCTTCAGCAGTTTCAACCCTCAGCTTCGAACACTGCCTTCCAACCTCCCCCCACAACTTCGACCCCCAGCTTCTATCCCAAGCGTCGATCCCGCAGAGCAATCGAAACCAAGCATCGATCCCGCAGCAGATCCCGAGCGTCAATCTTGCAGAGCACTTGAACTTGAGCGTTGATCCCGCAGCCTAGTTGAGTTCCAACGTCGATCCCGCAGCCCAATCCAGTCCCAATTATAATTTATAAAATACGACTAAATTTTTTATAATTATAACTAAAAATATTATTAATTTTGCTTATTAAATAAATGATTAATAATTTATTTTTGATAAATTATATCTAATAAATATCTTAATTAAAAAATTACTAAAATACTCCAAATTTTAACATCATTAAGTCCAAAATCCATTAGTTTGGATGTTGAGACCAAAATGATCATTTTGGTCCTTCCTAAAAAGTTGAGAGAATATTTTGGTTATTTTCTTATTCTAAAAAATGTTCATCAAACTATCCCTAATAGTCACCTTGAATTTCTCCCTCTAACTTCTTGTTTTCCTTCTCTCAACCTTGAAGACAAGTTTTTTTTTGATGATGGTGGCAGTGTTAGACATTAGCATATGAGATTGGATCCAAAACTCTGATGTGAAGCATGGGCTACAAACATGGCAGGATAACCAACAACTGTGAAACCTACCAAAGAAAAAGGCACAAACACATTCTACCAGCTTAAATGACAAATGAGTCAACATATGCAATAAAACACTAGTCTTAGTCTTTCTTTTAAGTTTTTGGTTAGGTAGACTAGTTCTACATTTTAAACTTGGTCAACCCAAATATTATAAATAATCCACTATTGTAAGAAAAGGCATGGAATGAAAATATTTCTAGTTTCTCCTCTATAGTCTCTCTTCTTCTCCTTTTCTTTCATAAGGAGTGTACAACCACTCAAAAGGCGTCTTCCCCTTCTTGATTTTGATCAAGAAGCATATCATTGTTCTTGCTGAATTTTTTTCCTTGTTGCTGCCTTCTGCCTCCGGCAATTGCAGCTGTTGACCTTGGACAGTCGACAGAGATGGCACCAGAGCTCCTATGATTGACTGCGGAGGACTCTACTATGATCTCCTTCCCTCTCCACCTCTCCATCACTAGACTCCCTCAAACCAGAAATATATATATATATGCAAAAGATCCACCGAAGACTAGAAATATCATATTTACAAAGTTTCCCTGCTTAAGTACAAATGTAAAAACAGTCATAACAAAAGAGAAGATAATTACAAATATGATCTAGATTGCTTTGTGATTACTAACTATGTCAATTAATCAGAACTTCTCAAGTGTAAGCATTAGAATTTCAAATTTCAGGTTGCATTTTATGTCTACAATTATATTTCAAATGCTTACGGCTATCGCTTTTTGTGATTTTTATGCCACTAATTAATACTTTCTCATTAATGCATGAGTAGGGAAGACAATGAATGGTGGATTCTGCCAACCATCTTACTTCTAGTCAAGTCATTCCAAGCGGGCTTAATCAATTGGCATGTTGCAAACCTGGAGATTCAAGACTCCACTGTATATAGCCGTGATCCAGAGAAATTTTGGGCAATATGAGTGAGATTGGGCCCTTATTTCGCACTATAGTTTGCTCTATATGTATATATTTATATATGTCATTCTTGTAAATTCCTTGCCCTGGCCTGTTTTTGTAATGGTCTTCCAGGAAAGTTCCAGAAAGAAAGAAAGAAAGAAAAAAAAGGGAATACAAGAGAGATTTCATGAATTCTGAATCTTCATCTCTGATTGTCTCCTTTGTTTACTTGAGGTAATTGATATCTTTGGCTTAGAGTTCTATAAGGAAGAATGGATTGATCATTTTTATACCGAATGCAACTTTCAGTGACCATTTCCTGATGTATTTTGCTTAAATTTTATTAACTTTATTAGTCATTTCTCACTCCTTATTTTAACCTTTTTTTTTTAACCATTGGCTGAGCATTATTTTTCTTCAGAAACCTATAAAATGTGCCCTTTCTGTGCGTTTCTCGAACCTGTTTTGGTCATTTCTATAATGGACAAATAGGAATGATTATTTATTTATTTATTTAACATCCATGTGTAAAAAAGAAATGGCTATTAGATGGATTAGGGATAGTTTATCAGTGAATGGTACATTACTAAAATTTATTATGAACTTCGACATGAAGATGATATTATTGCACATAAAATATTTGTATATGTAATATGAGTGTTACAACATGATTCAAAAGCAAAATGATTCTGACGCAAATATCTTAGATTCTGAATGCGTTTGCGTTTGCAAGTAAGCTTTCGTGAATTATGATTTTGTTTGCATGGTTTTTTTACTACTTAAAGCAATTTTAATTAAAAATTATATAAAGTTGTTTTAAAAAATAAGAAAAAAATCTTTCCAAATGAAGCATGTCTCTTGTGCTTATTTTTATAGAAATTGTTTTAGCCTCCAATAATATCTTAGGTTTTATTTGGGTTGACTTTCTTACTGCTTCTTGACGTAGTTTTTAGTAAAAAAAGAATAAAATTTTTATATTAACAAGCTGATTTAAGAAGCAATAAGAAAGCTCTCGCAAACAAAGCCTTTGTCTAATTCATTGTTGGATAGCTTTAATAGATATAATTGTAAGGAACAAACATTTATAATATATTAAGTAAAAAAATCAAAAGATATAATAAAAGGTAGTGACTTGTGTAAGTAGCAGCATAGTCATATTAGACTTGAATACTAAAGGTTATTAAGGTAATTGTTATCAGTTATAAGAATGTTTGAATATGCTATAACTTATAAAAATATACAATGAAAGGATTATTACTTATGCTAATTTATGGTGAGGATGAAATTCTAACGGCAGAAACTATGCATTTGAATTTGTTGTTTCAAATGATTTAGGCTTCGGTTGGGATAATTTTTTATTATTTTTATGAAAATTTTTGTTTAAAATTTATTTTATAAAATAGTAAGAAAAAAAAAAATTATGCTTGGGACAGTTTCTTATTGTTTTATGAAATAAGTTCTTTATAAAAAAAATTAAATTAAAAGTTTTTCCACTAAAAAAAAAAATTGTTTCATTAGGCGGCAAGAAAGTTGTCCTAAATGACGTATTAGAAAAGCATAAACCTATTTAAAAAGAAACTACAGGTGTAATTATTCTATGAGTATTGCTACAAACAAATAAATTTATATTGAAAGATTATTTGAGGCTCATATCTTAAGACAGTCCAATAAAAAAAGGAAGTATTATGCACTTATCTTTGGCTTTCAATTTTTTGGGTGCATAGCATCTCTTATTTTAATCCTTTTAATTTTAAATGATTAAAAAAAAAAATCCAACAGCAACAGAGTGATAATATGTTGATGAGAATAGGTTCATTTTTATAAATTTAGATCAAATGCATTATAATAGAGTAATAAATTAATATTTTATAATTTTTTTTGTTAAGTGAAGTATAACTCAAATTGCTCTTGTTGAGTTAGAGTTAACTCAATAGGTTAAAATATGTTTACCTCATGGGTCAATCAGATCGGATTAGACCAGTTAGAGATTACACGTAAATTTATGTTATCTTTAGAAATTCATATCCCATGTAATTTAAACTATTAGAATATCTTCTTTGTGTGCTAAGATTTTAATAAATTATATTATGTCTTTTAATATATTTTTTTTACATATAGCATTTTTCTCTACTCCCATTTATAAATAGGAGGATAGAGTGCAATTCTAGGAACACATTTGAGCTCCCTTGCTTTTGAGTTAAAAAATCATAGATTTTCTCTCATACTCTCTCTCTTTCTCTTTCATTGTCAATCTAGAAGTTCGAGTGTTATTCACCGACAAATTTGAACTCAAAAAGTCACAATTTTTCTATCCAAATATTTTTTTGGAAGGAATTTACTTCCACATCATATTACTCTTACCTATTTACAAATCTAACACCTAAACATATTGTTTATGACAACTAGAACCACTATACAATTGTTAGATGAAAATTTTGAAATTAAGGGAAAAAAAAACCACAAACAATTAAATAACTCTAAGTGCCATCCTGATTAGTCATGTAGCAAAATAATTTGGGTGCAAATATCATAATCAAAATTTACTTAAAAAGAATTTTAAAGTTTTGAAATTTGTTTTGAGATAATCCATTAATTTTTGCATTGCACTTATTTCAAAATAAATTTAAATTTTTAAATTTTATTATGATATACTCCTGATCGAATTTTTTTCAACGCAATTGTTGTACGCCGTTAGAATCGATAGAGGTCAAAAGACTTGGTGTCATAAAAACACAACGAAAGCTGAAGAAGATGAGAGCTTGATAGCTGTATAAAAACCCAACTGATTGATGCAAAACAGTGGTATACAAGCAGCATATATAGGCTTCGTTCGGGACGATTTTTTTACTGCTTCTTAAAATTCTTAAAGTAGCTTTTTAATATCAAAGTTATAATTTTTGTACTAAAAATATATTTTAAGAAGTAATAAGAAAACCGCCCCAAAAGAAAATGAAGACTCAGCTTTTTGGGACGACTTTTTTATTACTTTTTAAAACAGCTTTTTGTTACCAAAATTTTTTAGAGAATTATTTTTATTAAATTTTTTTAGAAAGCAGTTAGAAAGTCGTCTCAAATGAAGCCTGAGTTTGTATTTGATTTAATAAATCCATTTGAAACCTGCGATGGTGCAGGAGGGATAAGAATTTAATTACCCTTTTCTGGTAAAGCTCTCACTACTACCTGTTTTGCATCATATAAAATTATTTCATCATAATTAGGTGGCATTGTTGCATTTTGGACGAAAATTTTCTATCTATTGAATGTAAAAAGAATCAGCTAAATTTACTGTAAGAGCCAATTTTCTAACCATGTTTTATAATAGTTGAAACTTGAAAGAAAATGTGATGTAAATACAAATTTGGAGTAATGATTTTTTTACAATACTTAATTTAATTGTTTTGTATTTTAGTTCGTCTTTCATCTAAATTAACATTCTTATTTCTGAATAAGAATTGAATATTGTATTACTAAAAAAATTTAATTAAAAAATCATTTAAATATTTATTTATTAATAATTTAATCTTAGATAAATTATACAAATCAGAGTGGCGCAGCGGAAGCGTGGTGGGCCCATAACCCACAGGTCCCAGGATCGAAACCTGGCTCTGATATTTGAGAAAAGCTTCTGCGGTTCCTATTTTATTTTTATTTTTTTTGCATTTCTACGTTTCAGCTATTATATATATCGGATATTTTATAATCATTTAGCCCCGCGTTTAAAATTAACAAGATTAAAAAAAAATTAGCTGGAAATGTTTTCGTTTTCTTATGCTTATTTTTAATTTTCATAGATACAGTGATTATATATTCATAATAGTAATAAAAACATCTTAATCTTTATTTTAAAGAGTTAAAACAGACATATTTATTATAATAAGCTCCTTTTGTTGTGATGCCTTCAAAGATTTGTTGAAGAATGCTTTAACTATTATTTATTAAGACTTCATATGGGATGATTTTTTTATTACAATCATTTTTTAGTATAAATAATAAGAATTTTATACTAAAAATCAGCTTTAAGAAATAAAAAAAAGTCCTAATAGAGCCTAAAAAAAGCTATAATCTGCCTCTCATATCATGGTTTGCTTCATAATTAACTTTGTTATCCTGATAGTATGATTAATTTTACTTATTGGGATGGAGAAGTCAATAAATATATATCTATCTAGCTATAAAATATAGATTGTTAGCTGAATAGAGAATAATGATTTCTAACATTTCAAATTTGAAATCAATGGGAGGAAAAATTATTCTGTGCGGACACTGGATTTCATCCCGAGTCAAACCAGAGCGTGCCAAGTCAGTCTTTTGTTGTGTACTGTTGTGTACCACGTGACGTGAAACGCTCTTATTCGCCTCTGAACGATCTAGTGTCCGCACAAAATAATCCTTCACATGGGAGCCTACTTAGCGTGATTCAAAAATCAGGAAGTGCGGAGTTCTCAAGTAATATATTGGAGTATCAAAATATAAATTTAATCTAAAAAATAATTGATCCAAAGATTTTAAATTCAAATTAATTTTTATGAATTAAATTATTTTACAACCAATAAATCTGTTTTTTTTTTTGTATATTCTTACATTTCTTTTAGTTTTCATGTTATTTTAGTTGTAAATATTCAAATAATGTATTAAATAAGTTTTAAACATGACGTAATAGATAGGCCGCCAATGTCTTTAGAAGGCTTAATTAAATGGGCCTACTTATAGCCCATTTAGTACATCTACGCATTCACCATAATGGCACGACAAATTATTTTATTTTGTTGAGGCCCAAAAAAAATGCTTTAATTTACAAATTTAATCAAATCGAGATCAATTTGATTTGAGTTGAGTTAAATTTAATCTAAGCTTATAATTTTTAAATAAGCTAATAAGTTTAGTTCGAGATTTATCCCTGTTTGGTTTGCTATTGTTAAACAAAATATTGTAAATATAATATATTTTAAATATTTTATAGTTGTTTGATTGAGTATAAAATAAATATGGTAGATTATTTTTTGGTATTAAGTTTAAAGTAAAATAAGCTCAGATTAGGCTCGGTGGCGATGGTTGACAATATAGTGGTGAGCTGGTGGGTAATGGTGGCAACAAACTGTGGTGTCATCTATTGGCGATGATAGATGAAAAAAATGAAACGAGTATTTTTTTTTTTTTGAAAAACAATAATATATTAATAATAAAAAACATCAAAGGTTTCAACATGAAAATAAAAGAAAGAAAAAATAAAAACGGAAAAATACAGCCAAAAGGCGGGCTCAGTAATCGGCTAGGACTACCAGCACCCCTGAAGACAAACACGGACCATCCAGTTAGGTGGGAGAACACTAAAGGTTGCCACAAGCTGAACCACAGGGACGCGAGCCCCAACCACATCAT